AAGAAGGCAAGTAACCAAAGAGACTAATGTAAGGTGTAAAGTTAGGGTGTTGTTGTAGAGTTTTACTTGCTTTGCACTTTGGTTTGTTAGGGAGATTTTTTTCCCTCTGGGTGTTCAGTTGACTTGGATTTACAATAGAGTGTGTTGGCCTTGGATTATATGGGTTGAACTGTCTTGATGAGGCCAAATTGCCTTTCTTGTTCTGCACTCCACTTCTTTTAAACATCTATAAAGCTGGTTTATAACTGAACATTCTGGAAGTACAACCATGCAAACAAGGTACTCATTGTGTACTGGAGATTAATTGAAATCTGAGTCACTTTAAGATCATCTGTAAGTGGCGGACATGTCCTAAATGCAAGATGAGGAAAATGATTCTTTGATTCTTATGTATTTCAGCCCAATCCCTGTTTAATTGTGTCCTTTAGGAGGATATTTCTGGGGGATCATCCAGTGCAGTTATATGGATAGAACTGAGAAATAAGAAAGGGAAGATCACCTTGTTCCAGTTGTATTACAGGTCCCCCAATAGTTAGTGGGAAATTGAGAAGCAAATACGTAAGGAGATCTCAGATTTCTGTAAGAATAATAGGGTTGTAATGGTAGGGGATTATAACTTTCCAAACATAGACTGGGACTTCGACAGTGTTACAAGCTTGGATGGGGAGGAATTTGTTAGGTGTGTACAAGAAAACTTTCTTATTCCATATGTGAATGTACCTACTAGAGAGAAAACAACACTTGACCTTCTGTAATAAGGCAGGGCAAGTTACAGAGGTGTCAGTTGGGGAGCACTTTAGGGCAAGTGATCGTAGTTCTATTAGTTTTAAAATAGTTATGGATCAAAAAGTTAAAGTTCTAAATTGGAGTAAGGTCATTTTTGATGGTATTAGACAAGAACTTCCAATAGTTTGTCGGGGGAGTTCATTTGCAGGTAAAGGGACGGCTGGAAAGTGGGAGGCCTTTAAAAATGAGATAACAAGAGTTCAGAGACAGTATGTTTCTGTGAGTGTGAAGGGTAAGGCTGGTAATTGTAGGCAGTGCTGGATGACTAGAGAAATTGAGGCTCTGGTGAAGAAAAAGAAGGAGGCATATGTCAGGTATAGACAGCTGGGATTAAGTGAATCCCTAGCAGAATATAAGGGCAGTAGGAGTATACTTAAGAGGGAAATCAGGAGGGCAAAAAGGGACATTTGATAGCTTTGGCAAATAGAGTTAAGGAGAATCTAAAGAGAATCTATAAGTACATTAAGGTCAAAAGAGTAACTAGGGAGAGAATATAGCCCCTTAAAGATCAACATAGCTGTCTATGTGTGGAACCACAAGAGATGGGCAAGATACTAAACAAATATTTCATGTCAGTATTTACTATGGAGAAGGACAAGGGGAAATTTCAATCAATAGTGATATCTTGAAAAGAGTTCGTATTATAGAAGAGGAGGTGCTGGAGGTCTTAAAACGCATAAAGGTAGATAAATCCTGGGACCTGATAAGGTGTTTCCCAGAACTTTGTGGGAAGCTCAGGAAGAGACTGCTGGGCCCCTTGCTGAGCTATTTGCATCATAGACAGCCACAGGTGAGGTGCAGGAAGACTGGAGGTTAGCTAATGTAGTGCCATTATTTCAGAAAGACTGTAAGAAACAGCCAGGGAACTATAGACCAGTGAGCCCTACATCAGTAGTGGGTAAGTTGTTGGAGGGGATTCTGAGGCACAGGATTTACATGCATTTGGAAAGGCAAGGAATGATTAGGGATAGACAACATGGCTTTGTGCATGGGAAATCATGTCTCACTAACATGACTGAGTTTTTTGAAGAGATGACAAAGAAGATTGATGAAGGCAGAGCAGTAGACTTTGTTTCTCTGGACTTCAGCAAAGTGTTTGACAAGGTTTCACATTGGTAGACTGGTCACATGGGATATAAGGGACCTAGCCAATTGGGTACAAAATTGACTTGAAGGTAGGAGACAGGATGGTGCTAAAGCGTTGCTTTTCGGATTGAAGGCCTGTTTCTCCAGTGGTGTGCCTCAAGGATCAGTGCTTTTTGTCATTTATATGAATGATTTGGATGTGAACTTAGGAGGTATGGTTAGAAAGTTTGCAGATGACGCCAAATTATGTCGTGTAGTGGGCAGTGAAGAAGACTATCTCAGATTACAACAGGACCGTGATTAGATGGGCCAATGGGCTGAGTAGTGGCAGATGGAGTTTAATTTAGTTAAATGTGAGATGTTGCATTTCAGTAGGGCAAACTTGGCAGGCCTTATAGATTAATGGTAAGGGCCTGGGGAGTGTTGTCGAACAAAGAGACCCAGGGGGAGGCATGTGAATAATTCCTTGAAAGTGGAGTCACAGGTAGACAGGGTAGTGAAGAAGGCATTTGGCACGCTTGCCTTCTTTGGTCAGAAAACTGAGAATAGGAGTTGGGATGTCATGTTGCAGCTGTACAGGACATTCCACTTATAGAATACGGAGTACAATTCTTGTTGCCATTCTATAGGAAAGATGTTGTTAAACTTGAGAGGGTGCAGAAAAGATTTCTAAGGATGTTGCCAGGACTGGCGGATTTGAATTATAGGGAGAGACTGTTAGATTGGGGCTTTTTTCCCTGGAGCATTGGAGCCTGAAGGGGTGACCTTATAGAGGTTTATAAAATTATGAGGGGTATGGATAGGGTGAATAGCCAAGGTTTTTTTCCTAGGGATGGGGGGATCCAGAACTAGAAGGTGTAGGTTTAAACTGAGAGGGGAAAGATTTAAAAAGATTCTAAGGGGTGGCTTTTTCATAGAGAGCGTGGTGCATATATGGAATGAGCTGCCAGATAAAGTGGTGGAGGCTGGTACAAATACAACATTTAAAAGGCAGGTGGATGGGTATATGAACAGGAAGGGTTTAAGAGGGATATGGGCCAAATGCTAGCAAATTGGACTAGGTCAAATTGGGATGTCTGGTCGGTACGGACAAGTTGGACCAAAGGGTCTGTTTCTGTGCTGTATAACTATGCTGGAGCTGTTTCAGATTCCTTTGCTCAAAGTCCTGAAGCATAGGAAGTTCATGAATAATTTTGTTACTTATCCTGTTTAATATCCCTCAAATGTTTTCATTGGCTGAAAGCACTGGCTAGTGCTCCCTCTCCACACATTTGTCATTGTTCTGTGAAGGATGTCACAATGAACTAAAACTACAAAGTAACCCTTTGGCCAAAACATTTGATGAAAACTTCAAACCAACAGAAACTGATTTTGTGCCTTCCGTAGCAATGCTCATGATGGTGGTCTTTTGACTATGTTTTTGTAACTGACTTAGAGAGGTTACAGTGCTAAAGGAAGTGTGAATAGGCATACCATCAGAACATTACGGATATACACTTTTAAGATGGTAATTAGCACATTTCCCAAAGCTTAGCCCTAGTGTATTTTCCCCCTTCGTTGTGCGAAGATGGTAGTTCACACATTCAACCTACAGAACCACTTTGTGGCCAAAGTCTGAAACAGCACTTCAACAGCTATCAAGGCAGAACATAAATAGCATGTCAACATTTCCCACTTAAATGGTGAGTGTCGACAGAAACGTAATTACAAAATCATGATAGCCGGAATTGAGGGTTGCAACGAGGAAAGTGGGTGTCACATTACAAACTGGACCATGGGTAATACAAAATCACTCAAAACAAAAAGGCATCCACCTCATAGTTTATTGAATAAAACTTAAAGTACAAATATAAATTACGAACTGCTTTAATCAGGAGGCAAGCTCAGCTCATGCAGTCGGCCCATTTCTCTTCACTCTGCCACTGGCAGTCCACAAGTTGTCATTTTGCTACTTTCTACGCTTTCACAGCATTCAGTTAGGCCCGGGAGAGGAAGGAGGGGTGAATGGAGAAAACCATGCAGCTGCACATTGCCAACGCGCATGCCATTATGCCTCCTTTTCCAGGGTCACAGTCTCACGGGGCACTCATTTTCCACAGGAGCCCAGAGGCCAGCAGCCTATTCAACTTGTAAGTGCATCACAGCTGAGTATGACCTTTACCTCACCCAATGCCTACACGAATCCACTTTCTAGCAGAAAGCCTGCAATCAGGAGCACAGCCTCTGCTTACTATTCACCTCCTCAGCACAAATGCTGAAAAGAGCTAGTGTCCTTGGTCACTGTGACAGAGTTGGGTTAAATCAAATGAGACTGGGGATCAAATCTCTGATCTATAAATTTAAGTCTGAGCTTTCAATATCTTCACTTGCAGCTATTGACAAAGGCTTTCCATTCCATAAGACATTTCCCCAAATGATGCAAACCTTAAAATTCATGCCCAAGATCGATCTGCCCAAACAGACGGAAATAATACAACTTCTGATCGGCTCACTTTTAGAGCAGATAGTTCAGTTAAAATACACACAGACCTGAGCCTAGGCTGACCCACACCAAGCCCAGCTGACACCAAGCCTGGCCCACCCTGTATACCAACATAGCTCCATTCTTTAAATCTGGATACTTTCCATTATAAAACCTTAACTGTCTCTCTTTCTCTCCCTCAATTCCTTCTCACACACTATCCCGACTGACAAGAAGAACTTGTGACTTCATCCCACAGTTCTTTTAATATTCTTCATATGAAGTGAGAGTACTCCTGGCAAGTTAAGTATTTTATTCTTTTTCTTTTTTTTTTAAACTGAGGAGATTCTAAATCTCCTGGTTATAAGTTTTTTCTTTTTGAATTGAGAAGATTCTAATTTTTTTTTTGTGCTTATCTTCTCCAGCACCCTCGTTATGCATGTGCAGGTGTGAAGTTAAGTATTTTATTGCTTTTTCTTAATTGCCATTTAAAACGAGTGGCTTATTAGGCCTTTTCAGAGGGTGATTAAGAATCAACCACATTGTTCAGATTTGGTGTCATGTATAGGCTAGTAAAGACAGCAGAAATTTTCTTTTCTGAACGCCATCAGTGAATCAGATTTTTTTCCATGACAATCTGATAGTTTCAAAATCATTAGTACACTAATTGATTTTTAATTCCAGATTTATTTATTAAATTTACATTTCCCACAGCTTGCGCAGTTAGATTCAAACTCGTCTCCAGAGCATTAGTCCTGTCTGCTGATTCATAATCCATTAACATTACCATTTCGCTGTCATGTAAGGTTTTTGCCACTGCTTTCAGTCATTGTTCTGCGCAGGTGAGGAGGGCGAGTGGGTAAAACATGGAGGAGGAATGGAGCAGAAGAACTCAGCTTTTCTCATCATGCACAGTAAAATTCAGGTTATCTTGAATCTGCAGAATCTCCGATGTTCTCAGCAGCACGCCCCCTCCAACTTCCCCAGCTTCACTGCTGCTATATAAAATACTAACGTTATCGGTCTGAGGTGATTGTGAAGGAAATGTCTGTGGAGTATTTTTCCCTCCATACATACAGTGAAAAGAATTCAAGTGGAGAGGCTCTAAGACTCTGTTTATGTTTTTGTTTGATTTTTACTATAAGCTCAATGAGTTAAGCAGCATTACTGATGCATGGTGCATGCCAGATAATACAAATTTTACTGCAGTAAGTAACTCGATCTTAGCTCATTGACCTTGCTCCAGTAGTCAGGCTAAGATTGTGAAATTTCTGATGGAAGGGATTCCACAAGTTCTGAAATGATGTGTCTTTAAAGTTAAATTCTGAGATATGCTAACCCCTCCCATCCGTACTCATTCCTACATGTTATTCAGTCCTGAGGGGTTAGCCAGAATACAAGGCATACACTTAAAAACAGGCTGCTACAACAACCAATCCAATGACCCACCTTGTGCAGAAGCAGTGAATGAACCAGCCATCTACTTCAAGAAAAGAACAAAAACGAAACAATCAGCTCTCTGTCCTGTTGTCCATTTTGGTGCCTTCTGGCATAACGTCAGTCAATGTGACAGAGGGACTTCGCCCTGCAGGTCAGCACTTTCCAGCCGTGGCACTTAATAGTTCCGTTCAGTAACGGTTTCTCAGTCGCACTTAATAATGTCAGGAAGAGGCTGTATACCTTCCCCCTTAATATCCCACTCCACTCGCAGTAACCCCACTCATAACTCGTATTCTCCACAGTTCACACTCTGTCACTGGCCGGGCCAGGTAATGTTGGTTTTAAGACCATCTCACCGTTCATACAAGTGCGCATGCGCGTGTATTTTATGTCCCACCCTTTCTCTCTCTCTCTCTCTCTCTCGTCATGGGGTGGCATGGGATCCAGGTCAGCCCGGGGACCGGTTGGCAAGCTCCTCTTGCATTTTTTGCTTGCAGCGGGCATACTTTCCAAACATCTGTCTGACATGCTCCTCCTCCTCGCGCTGAAGGATTCGCAAGAAGTTCTGCAGCTCAGGCACAGTGAAGGCATCCCACTGGCAAGGAAAAGGCAGGAAAAGAAGAAAGTTAATGGAAACGCTGACGGACTCATTCATCTGAAACTCAGCCTAACAATCCCACTTAATTCTCTAACTCTCCTGAGTTCAAGTATAATCAGCTTGGAGAGGACTACATTGCCAGTAAACTTTAATATTCCAAGGTCTTGAGCCTGATAGTAACTAACCCAACTGCTCTTGTTCTTAGGGGAATAGACTGTGAGAAGGAACGTCAAATTCTAGTTAAAAATATCACCAGCGACCAGAATACTGTGTGTTAAGGAACTGTGATAAAGAATAAAGAAAGACTGTCATTAATATAGAGCCTTTCCTGACCTCAGAATGCTTCAGCTTGCTTTATAACCAATAAAGTATCCTGCAATGTAATAATTGTTGTAAAGTTGGAAGCTAATTTTTATAGAACAATCTCCCACAAATAGTTTTGAAATATTGGCCATCTATTCTGCTCTGGCAATGTTGATCCAAGAAAAAAAATCAGAATGCTCGGGAGAATGCTACTTTTCTTTGGAATACTGCCATGGGATAGTTAATTCCCATGTGAGAGAGCAGGTGGAGCCTCATTTTGAAATTTCATCCACAAGACAGCACTTTCAATAGTGTGGCACTCCCTCAGTACGGCACAGGACTATATTAAACTCCAGTAAGTGCTCCAGGCTGTGCAATGGGTTTGAACCCATGACACTCTGACTCACTGGAATAATTGTTACCACTTACTCAAGGCTTACGTGAGTTTTTACTGCTTGAGTCACACAGCCCAGGCAGAATCATCAACATAACACTGAGGAGACAGTGGTAAGAAAACTTCGAAAATTGTGAACAGCATCCTGTCTGGTTTAAGATTTTCAAAACAGACTTAGCTTATTCTAGCTGCAAATATGCTACAATTAGTGAGCATTACTCAGATGGAAAGTCAGAACTCCTGCAGGAGGCCTGGCAGTTATCCATCCCAACCACAATGAAATCCTGAATTTCAGAGATAAAGATCATGATTTGTTCTCAGGAGGTGGTCATCAGTGGCACTTAATGTCAGTTCTTAGTTACCTTGGTTTGATACAATTGATTATCTTGCCAAGCTACGAAGAGAACATTTAAGTGATAATCAAGTTGTTGCAGGACTGGAGTCACATTTGTACCAGACTGGGTAAGGATGACAACGATGCTAGAAAGAATATTTTGGGATAGAAGGAACTGCCGATGCTGGAGTCTGAGATAACAAAGGTGTGGAGCTGGATGAACGCAGCAGGCCAGGCAGCATTAGAGGAGCAGGAAAGCTGATGTTTCAGGTCTGGACCCTTCTTCAGAAATTGAGGAGGAGAAGGGGGCTCTGAAATAAATAGAGAGAGCGGGGGAGGCGATGATAGAAGGTGGATAGAGGAGCAGATAGGTGGAAAGACGACAGACAGGTCAAGGAGGTGGGGATGAACCAGTAAAGGTGAGTGTAGGTAGGGAGTTGGGATGGGGGTTGGTCAGTGAGGAGGGCGGGGCAGGTAGATGGGAGGGAAGACAGACAGTTCAAGGAGGCGGGGATGAGGCTAGTAGGTAGGAAGTGGGGGTGGGGGGTTTGGTCAGTGAGGTGGGAGAAGTGGAGGCTTGGAGACCGCTTTGTGGAGCAACTACGCTCAATTCATGACAAACGACAACACCTCCCTCGCGAACCACTTCAACTCCCCCTCCCACTCCTTGGACGACATGTCCATCCTAGGCCTCCTCCAGTGCCACAACAATGCCATCTGAAGGCTGGAGGAACAGCACCTCATATTCCGCCTGGGAACCCTGCAGCCCAATGGTCTCAATGTGGACTTCACAAGCTTCAAAATCTCCCCACCCCCAACCTGATCCCAGGACCAGCCCCTCTCGTCCCTGCCTCCTTGACCTGTCCATCTTTTCTCCCACCTATCCACTCCTCCCACCTCACTGACCAACCCCCACCCCCACTTCCTACCTACTAGCCTCATCCTCGCCCCCTTACCTGTCCGTCTTCCCTCCCACCTACCCACTCCTCCCTCCTCACTGACCAACCTCTATCTCAACTCCCTACCTACACTCACCTTTACTGGCTTAATCCCCACCTCCTCAATCTATCTGTCTTCTCTCCACCTATCTGCTCTCAATTTATGGATTTGGAAGAAAAAAAAACTTCCTCCCCACCCATACATTCACTAAGCTAAAGCTCATGAGACTCTGTTTGGTTGGTAGCTTTGGTTCTTTGATCTCAGCTGTCATTTTCATAATTTTTATTTGCAAACGATACAGAGCTTTCAAGTGCTTGTGGTCTCTGCTATCAATATTTTAAAGAGTCCAGAAGGTTGAGACTTTTATTGGTTTGTAATTGAAATAAGTTGTTTTTAGGAAAGCGGAAAGTAATGAATGAATGTTTTGTTTTAACAAGTTAATATAGCCGCTTGTTATTACAAGATTCACTGGATCTGTACCATGTACAGGGTCAATAGGCATGGATGATGTCATGGAGGTGTGGGTGTGGTCATTGTCTGGCATGGGAACATGAAGAGGATCTATTAAACTTGCCTTTCAAAAGGTTCGTTTATTCACACTATGGTTCATAACATTTCTGATATGCCACAAACCATGAGTCTTTAAAAATCCTGCATGAATCTATAAAGAATATGGGAGCTAGGACATACACACTCCTGCAATGGAAGCAGCTAGACCAAACTAGTCCAAGTTCTTAACCCACACTGGTAAAAAACAAAAATCCAGGAATGGGATGGGGAATGACGGAATCAGGTCTCACATCTCCCTGCCTGGCACATCACAACCAAATCAGCAGGGAACCACTCAAAAATATTCCTACTTACATTCACTTCTCCCGTCTCATTCTCCTTGAGGACAAGGCTTAGCATTTTCTCATCCGGCCCAGCCAACAGTCGCAGGTATAAGGGATGCTCGTCATCAGAAAGCTTACGAGTGTAAACTGTGAAAGAAATAAAAAGCCTGAATTTTGGGGTGTTGAACTCAATTTTATGTCTCCAAGGTTAGGCATTGGGGAAAACCCTCCTGAAGTTCTCAGTGAACCTTCTCTTCCATGGTGAGCAGTACAAGAGTCTTAACCTCAGTGAGTCAGTGCTTTGAACTAGGTGCTGGTTATGTTTTTATTTTGATTAAGTATTTTCGGAAACCTAACTACAGCAAACATTCTACCAAATTAGAGATATTCATACTTCAAACTTAACATTCCCCGCACCTCAAAACCCCTGCCACAAGTCATGACTGAAATTCATGTCCTGTGAGACTTTGGAGACCCCTATGCACTTGTATATTTCTCCACACATCAGCAACCATTACTGAACTCAGCATCAGCAGGTTACATGATTGCAGGTTCAATTCCCACAGTCACAGAATTGGAAGACACCAAGGTGATCTCCACACAGCGCAGTGTCACCCAGTCGAGAGATGCACCTTTAATCTCCAAAGCTGAGTGTCCCACAACTGAGACATGGAGTTTCAATCACTGCTCAGCTCAGTGTTATTGGGAGCTGCAGGTTAAGTCACTAAACTGAGGTTGTGATGTCTGTCAGGAGTAATGAGTTAAATTGAGCAGTAGAGTCAGACTTGAGTTGTAGCTCAGAACATGTTGATTACAGGGATGGTGCTGAACGTCAGTTTGTGAAGGCCAGGTATACTTAAAAAATAAAAAAAAGTTGCAACATTATTGTTTTTGTAAATTAACCATGAATAAAATCTCTTATCTGGCAGATTTCTAATGCAACTTCATGAGAAAATGCTCTACAAGTTCTTCCTGTAATAGAGTATTTGAATGATTTGACAGAAATAGCTGACAACCCGCTGGGAAAGTACAAGGCACGCACTTCCCGAGTCTGGCTGAGCTGCTTTTAATCGAACGCCATTTACACGGGAAGGGACAGGAAGCAGGACCCAGCCAAGTCCTGGGTGAGGCAGCAGATGGGACAAAAATTCACATCCTCCCATTAGGGGGTTTGGCAGCAAGTGGTAAAGTGTTTATCTCAGGATTTCCTCACTGTGCAACTGATTGCAAAGGCCTCATCACAGCAAACTGGATGTGGTCAATCATACTTTGCACTACAGAACTCAAGCATTTTAAGGAGCAGGAAAAGGCCCCCAAACGGGCATGTCTTTTTTCAACTGATGAATGCATGTAATTAGTGCCCACAATCTTATTCTACAACTTCTATTAAAAATAAATGCTCTGTCTGCTACATGGCCTCTCACATTAGGACGGTTCACAGTTCTCTTATGCAGCTTCCTTGGCCATGGGAACATAACTCAGAGAATTGGGTGTCTCTCAGCAGCACTCATGAATGTCTGGCCAACGAGTGGCAGACTTGGTGCAATTCACCTGAGTTAAGTTCTGGTTGTACTTCTCCAGTTGACAGAATTCTATGCACAGAAGTGGTTAGTTGCAACTTTGGGCCTCTAACTACCTCAATCATTTTCAGTTTTCTGCTTGTGTCACCACAGCATTTCTCCATGGCAGATCATTCACCTGGCTTTCGGGGCTCAGCTTTTCAAAGCTCATTCTCTTTCTTCAGCTGGGTCTGAGGATTAGCTGTTCCTTAGTTGGCAGCAGTCTTCCTTTTTGAGTCTGAAGACTCCCAATCCTGCAACTTGAGCCCTGATCTCAATAGGTCCTCTAGTTTTGTACCAAGGGACAGCTGTTCTGTTGGAGGTCTGGACATTTGGTTGAGTCATCAAAATGAGAACAACCTGGCTTCTTGGCAGATACAAAAGAATCCATGCCACGATTTGAAAGAGAGCAGGGGAATTTTCCCCAGTGCCCTTGCTAATTTTTAATCCTGCGAAATCAACATCCAAATGGCTGTACTGGTCATTTTCATGTTGCTGTTTCTGGCAGCTTGCTGGGCTTAAATTCACTGCCACATATCCTATACTAATCAACCATGACTACACTTTAAAATATGCTTTGTTGGGTGCAAAACACCTTGTGCCATCTTGAATTTAAAAAAAAGTGCTATATAAATGCAAGTTCTTTCTTTTTGACCCAAGAGCAGCAGTGCCTCCTTTGCATTGGATTTACCTTGGTCATCTTTCTCCACCCGTTCAAACAAGGCAAACTTGCGGGGATTGTCCACCACCATGAACTTGTTGAGCAGCGCTTTGATCACCTCACTGGCCTTCGTGTGGCTGCTGATGTGCAAGTGCTTCACGGTGTCCTTCGGGAGGTAGAAGGACGTGCGGCGTTTTATTGGCTGCGGGTGTGCCGGTCCCATGGCTTTCTTGGCGTCGTAGATTGATTGAGGCTTCATGTTCGCAGACACGGAGATAGGCCTTACCAACTTCAGCTGAACCTTAATGAACCCGGTGTATGTTCCGTCACTGTTCTGTGAAGATGGGGAAAAGACAAGTGAGAGTTGGTATCCTGCAGTCATAGCAAAGGTAGGCCAATTTGCCCCTAGCACATTCAATGGCTGCTTGACATGGATGTAGCAGCTTTCTATGGAGGACCCTGCTGCACACGACCAATGGATCCATTAAAAAGGAGTCATGAAACTAGGAATAAGCGTTACCCAACCCATAATTTCTACAGGCGCAATCCCAACTGCATTGACAGAGGGGATGCCAAGATATCCTGAGGCTGTGTAATGAGTGTCGAGAAGTTTGGGGGTTCTACCCTAGACATGGAGAATGACAGTTTCTAGCAAATAGAGGTGAGAAAGTCCCTCTTGATCATGTTAAAGCTTGTAAGAGATATATTTTGTTACAGTAAACAAAGTATGCTCAAATAGTGAAGAAAAATGATTTAAAATGGGCAAAGTTAAGGGACATCTAGCTAATTTATACAGAAATGTAGCATCGATATCCCATGTCCCATATTTATTCACTACTCTCAAGAATGCAAGAGTCAACAGAAAGTTTGCATGCTGATTAACCAGCTTTGAAACAGATATTCTGTGATGGCTCAGTGGTTAGCACTGCTGCCTCACAGTGCCAGGGACCCGTGTTCAATTCCACCCTCAGGTGACTGTCTGTGTGGAGTTTGCACAGTCTCCCCGTGTCTGCATGGGTTTCCTCCGGGTGCTCAGGTTTCCTCCCACAGTTCAAAGACGTGCAGGCTAGGTGGATTGGCCATGCTAAATTGCCCGTAGTGTTCAGGGATGTGTAGCTTAGGTGGGTTATAAGAGGATGGGTCGGGGTGGGATGCTCCAAGGGTCGGTGTGGACTTGTTGGGCTGAAGGGCCTGTTTCCATACTGCAGGGATTCTATGTTCTATGTTAAAATATAGTAATAGATTACATGTAGCATTGTACTTATTCAATTTAAAAAATGTTATGAGGAAATCAAAACTTGCAATTATCACCCAACCCCAATTGCCCTTGAGAAAGCACTAATGGGTTGCAGTCCATAATAAGAGTGTGGATGCAGTAGGGACATCCACAGTGCTATTCCAACTACAGAGTCAGCCCAGTCCATCACGCAAGCCAACCTTCCATCCATTGACTTCATCTACACTTCTCACTGCCTCAGAAAGGCAGCCAACAAAGACCCCTACCATCCTGGTTACCATCTCTTCCAACCTCTTCCATCAGGTAGAAGATACAAAAGCTTAAACAAATGTACCAACAGGTTCAAGAACAACTTCTTCCCTATTGTTCTGGATGGAACCCTCAAATTTCAAATCTAAATCTGATCTTGCTTTTTGTGCACCTTCTTAATAAGAGAAGAGCTTTGTACTCAAAAGTGTGGTTTAGGACCTGGAATGCACTGCCTGAAAATCTGTTAAGTTTGATTCAGTTGCGATCCCTAAGAGAGATAATTATCTAGAAGACAAAAATGATTTGCAGAGCTTCAAGACAAAGGTAGGGAAGTGGATCTACATAGTTGCCTTCGCCATAACTTTGTGTTCCTCGTCCTGTTCTATCACCCTATGAACTTTGTGTAGTATGATCTGCCTGTACTGCAAGCAAAACAAAAAACTTTTCAATGTACCTAGGTACATGTGCCAATAATAAATCAAATCAAATTAAGGTTTTACCCCAGTGGCTTGGTAATGAACTTGCAAGTGATGATGTTCTCATTCTGCTGCCATCGCCCTTCTAGGTGTTAGAGACTACATGTTTGGGAGGTACCATTGAAAGAATTTTGGTGAGTTACTGCAGTGGCATCTCATGGTTTGCAGAATCATAGCAGACTACAGCACACAGGATGACCATTCAGCCTGTAATATCTATGCTGGCTCTCTCTAAGGGCAACTGTATAGATCCACTTCCCTACCTTTGTCTTGAAGCTCTGCAAATCATTTTTGCCTTCCAAATAATTATCTCTGTTAGGGATCACAACTGAATCAACCTTAACAAATTTTCAGGCAGTGCATTCCAGGTCCTAAACCGCACTTGAGTGCAAAGGTCTTCCCCTATTGCCAACAGGTTGCCTCATTACTACATTCGAGGTTGCTGCCACTGTGATCCAGTGGTGGAGTGAATGGTTATGGTAGGGGATAGGCTACTAATCAAATACACTATTTTGCCCTGATGATGTTGAGCTTCTTGAACAATTTCTTTCTGACTAAATCCATTTTATGGTAAGATGTTAATGAGAGGGTCTATTACGACAACCCTCCACCATTTGTGTCTGCTACTCACCAGCGTCATCAAGAGATCGTTATTGATCTGAGAGTTGTACTCCTGAATCTTGGGTTCAATTTCATCTCGTGAAAGAACTTCCTTCTTCCAATCAATGCACTCATCCTGCAAAGCAATAAAAATTTTTATAAGTATCCTTAGCAATGATCAAAGGGCTTATATGAGCTTGTCTTTGTAATGTCGAGTGGTGGCAGACACACACAACTGGTGAGAGCCAGATGTTTCTTTACTTTCCACTTTACAATTCCAATTTTCTCCCACTGCCACTTGATCCTATTGGTTCAAAGTCTATAAGTGCCAGTATAGCCTTGTTCAAGTGGCCAATTCCAAGAATTAGAGGATCAATGGTCTGGTAGACCTCGAGTGGGACTAAAGCAAAGACTGATCCTGTCCATAATCTGAAACCACCACTGTATGGTGATTAGAAGCAGGTGCATCAGCTAATTCCACTGCCTTTTACTGAAATCAGTTCATTCAACACAGACAGGGGATTGACTCTGGATCAGTATTTTCTATTGTTATGCACCAGACCAGGCAATATCCTGCATGGAGCTTTCTTTTTCTCACTTTTAACATGCTCTTTGCTAAGTGTTTTCTATCCAAATTCAGTATTTACTGAAAGATATTTGCTTCACTTTGTCCATTATCAATAAAAACCTGCATTTATACAGCATCTTTAACATAATAAAACATTCCAAGGTGCTTCACAGCATTGTCATCAGGCAAAAACCAACACTGAGCCAAAGTACAAGCCATTAGGTCGTGCAACCAGAAGCTTGGTTATCTGGCTAAGTGTTAAAGGAGGAGATAGACCTGGTGAGTCAAAGAGATTGAGGAGTGAATTCTAAAGCCTCTTATGTCTTAGAATGTCACAGGGCAATTTGCACACAGTCCTCTCCAATGACCACTGTCACAGTATCAGGCTTGTAAGAGGCTTTGAGGTGAAGGGGGGAATTGTGAAGAGAGAAGGAGTGAAGGGCCATTTCATAAAGACTCCATTGATTTATGCCCATGGCTTACTAACTCATGGAAGTGGCATCAGTAGAGGCTGTATCACTGGATCATCCACATGGTTCACGGACTAACAACAGAACGATGTGTAACAGGAAGAGAGTTTAAGTGCTTTGTTAGCATTGCAGAAAAACCCGATTTATATCGCATATGCTCAACAGCTGGTTAGGGATTCAGGAAGGAAAGGCGGCACTTGGAGGTTTCTATCAATGTCTTCAGGATGTGTCAAACACCTCTCGGAGGAACGTTTATTGACAGGAAAAGCTACGTCCTGTTCATCTAATACATCCATCATGTGTTTGTATAGCCCTTCTTCCATTATCCTTACAAAACACGGCATCTGAATGTTTCTGTGATTTATGGCACTAGAATCATGAATGGCTTAGTACAGAGGCTTATGAAACTTAAATTTCTTAAATTGCTATGAATCTCCCTTGCATAGAGTCATACAGTCAGGGGTCTACAGCACAGAAGAAAGGCCTTTCGGCCCATCAAGTATGTACCAGTCAAAAACAACCACCTTATAATTCTAATTCCATTCTTCAGCACTTGGTCTATAGCTTGTTATGTAACTATTTCCTGGGAGAGCCGTTCAGGCAGAGGCTCAGAGAGATTGTCTTTGACCAACAACAAATTGCATTTATATAGCACTGCTTATGTAGTAACCCATCCAAAGGCACTTCACAGGAGGATTATGAAACTAAATTTGGGAGTGATCCATATAGACTTCAGAATATGTGACAAGAGGTAGGATTTAAGGAACATCTGAAAAGGGGACGGTAATTGAATATGGTACAGTTACATAGATTCTTAGTAGGCAAGGGAATCAAAGGTTATTGGTGATAGATGGTAATGTGAATTTGGAAACACGAACCGGTCCTCGAGGGTCATAATCTCCGGATTACTGCCCGAGCCACGTGCAAATTGGCTTAGGGATAAGAAAATTAGGGAAGTAAACACGTGGCTAAGGGACTGGTGTGGGAAAGAGGGGTTCCATTTCATGGGGCATTGGCATCAGTTTTGGAATCGGAGGGATCTGTACCGATGGGACGGTCTCCACCTGAACCGATCTGGAACAGTGTTCTAGTGAAAAGGATAAATAGGGTGGTCACTAGGACTTTAAACTAATAAGCTGGGGGGAAGGGAAAGGGAAAACGACAGGAAGTATGATGGTAAATAAAATGGTAAGCAGCAGGTTAGCATGTGTGCAGGAGGGTTTAAGTTCAAGGCAGACTATGAAAGAAGCAAAAAGGAAGGATAACTCAGGAGATATTATTAGAGATGTTGGAAATCATGAGGGTAAGAAAGCTAGCATAAAGGCACTTTACCTGAATGGTCATAGCATTCGTAACAAGGTTGATGAGTTACCGGCACAAATCATCGTGAATGAATATGATTTGGTAGCCATTACGGAGACCTGGTTACAGGATGGTCACGACTGGGAGTTAAATATCCAAGGGTACCAGACTATTCGGAAGGACAGACAGGAAGGTAAGGGAGGTGGTGTAGCTCTGATATTCAAGGACGACATCAGGGCGGTGCTGAGAGATGATATAGGTTCTATGGAGAATGAGGTTGAATCCATTTGGGTGGAAATTAGAAATTCTAAGAGGAAAAAGTCACTGATAGGCGTAGTCTATAGGCCACCAAATAATAACATCACATTGGGGTGGGCAATAAACAAAAATAACTAATGCCTGTAAAAATGGTACGGCAATTATCATGGGGGATTTTAATCAAATGTAGATTGTCGAACCAGCTCGGTCAGGGTAGCCTTGAGGAGGAGTTCGTTGAGTGTATCCGTGATAGTTTTCTTGAAGAGTATGTAATGGAACCAACAAGGGAGCAAGCTATCCTAGATCTGGTCCTGTGTAATGAGACAGGAATAATTAATGACCTCATAGTTAGGGATCCTCTTGGAAGGAGTGATCACAGTATGGTTGAATTTAGAATACAGATGGAGAGTGTGAAGATAAAATCCAATACCAGGGTCCTGTGCTTGAACAATGGGAACTACAATAGAATGAGGGAGGACTTGGCTAAAGTAGACTGGAAACAACGATTTTATGGTGGGACAGTTGACAAGCAGTGGAGGACTTTCAAAGCAATTTTTCAAAGTGCTCAGCAAAAGTATATTCCAGTGAAAAGGAAGACTGTAAGAAAAGGGGTAATCTGCCATGGGTGTATAAAGAAATAAGGGAGGCTATCAAATTGAAAGAGAAGGCATACAAAGTGGCCAAAAACAGCATGAAACTAGAAGATTGGGAAAACTTTAAAGGTCAACAGAAAGCCACAAAAAGAGCTATAAAGAAAAGTAAGATAGAACATGAGAAAAAACTAGCACAGAATATAAAGACAGATAGCAAAAGTTTCTATAAATATATAAAACGAAAAAGAGTGGCTAAAGTAAACGTTGGCCCTTTAGAGGATGAGAAGGGGAATTTAGTTATGGGATATGATGAAACGGCCGAGGCATTGAACAGGTATTTTGTATCGGTCTTCACAGTGGAGGACACTAATAACATGCCAGTAATTGACAAAGAGACGAAGGTAGGTGAGGACCTGGAAACAATCATTATTACGGAAGAGGTAGTGTTGGACAAGCTAATGGAGCTAAGGATTGATAAGTCTCCTGGCCCTGATGAATGCATCCCAGGGTACTAAAAGAGATGGCGGGAGAAATAGCAGGTGCACTGGCGGTAATTTTCCAAAATTCGCTGGACTCTGGGGCAGTCCCAGCAGATTGGAAAACAGCAAATGTGACGCCACTGTTTAAAAAGGCAAGTAGACAAAAGATGGGGAATTATAGACCGGTTAGCTTAACCTCTGTAGTGGAAAGATGGGAAGATGCTTGAGTCTATTATCAAGGAAGAAATAGCAAGGCACATTGATAGAAATTGTCCCATTGGGCAGATGCAGCATGGGTTCATGAAGGGCAGGTCATGCTTGACAAATCTTTTGGAATTCTATGAAGACATTACGAGCAGGGTGGACAATGGGGACCCAGTGGATGTGGTGTACCTAGATTTCCAAAAGGCCTTCGACAAGGTGCTGCACAAGAGGCTACTGCATAAGATAAGGATGCGTGGCGTTAAGGGTAAAGTATTAGCATGGATAGGGGATTGGTTGACTAACAGGAAGCAAAGAATGGGGATAAATGAGTGCTATTCTAGCTGGCAGTGACTAGTGGTGTGCCTCAGGGATCGGTGTTGGGACCGCAATTATTTACAATTTATATAGATGATTTGGAGTTGGGGACCACGTGTCGGGTGTCAAAGTTTGCAGATGACACTAAGATGAGTGGCAGAGCAAAGTGTGCAGAGGACTGTGAAACTTTGCAGAGGAAAATAGATACACTGAGTGAGTGAGCAAAGGTCTGGCAGATGGAATACAATGTAAATAAATGTGAAGTCATACATTTTGGTAAGAGTAATAGTAAAAAGGATTATTACTTGAAAGGTAAAAAGTTGCAGCATGCTGCTATGCAGAGGGACCTGGGTGTCCTTGTACATGAATCACAGAAGGTAGGTCTGCAGGTACAACAAGTAATTAGGAAGGCAAATGGAATTTTGTCCTTCATTGCTAAAGGGATTGAGATTAAAAGCAGAGAGGTTATGTTGCAGCTGTACAAGGTGCTGGTGAGGCCACACCTGGAGTACTGTGTGCAGTTTTGGTCTCCTTACTTGAGAAAGGATGTACTGGCACTGGAGGAGGTGCAAAGGATGTTCACTAGGTTGATTCCGGAGTTGAGGGGGTTGGCTTATGAGGAGAGACTGAGTAGATTGGGATTGTATTCATTGGAATTCAGAAGATTGATGGGGGATCTTATAGAAACATATAAAATTATGAAGGGAATAGATAAGATAGAAGTAGAGAGGATGTTTTCACTGGCTAGGACAAGAGGGCATAGCCTCAAGATTAGAGGGAGCAGATTTAGGACTGAATTGAGAAGGAACTTCTTCACCCAGAGGGTTGTTAATCTATGGAATTCCTTGCCCAGTGAAGTAGTTGACGCTACTTCAGTAAACATTTTTAAAGATAAGGTAGATTTTTTTTGAACAATAAAGGAATTAAGGGACACGGTGAGAACGCGG